AAAAAAAATATATAATAAGAAGAAAACATGTAAGTAAAATTATATACATTAAAATAAAAAAAATAAAAATATCTTGTAAAAACGAAAATAAAAAGTACAATGAAGGAATAGTAGAGAGAGAAAAAAAATACTTGTCACGCATTCATTCCTATGTACAATATTTATATTCAGCCTAGAGAACTCTGAACCATGCTTCACCGCTCTCATATGAAAGGCAAGGCAGGGCTCTAAGAGACCCCAGCGCTTCTCTCCCAGCCCCATCACTATTTTTTTTTTTTTAATATATTACAACATGTCATACAGATAAGTTACAAGTTTATGGTTGTAGTAACCTTACACTTGACATAACAATGGTTTGAATACTGCTTCGAAAATTGAAGTTAATTTTTTACAGTAGGAAAAATCTCATAAAAATCTACATAAGTTATAAATTAAAAAAAAATTATATTACAATCATTAAAAGTGCAAAAAAAACTAAACATAATTTATGTGCAAAAGGAATATATATATATATATATATATATATATATATATATATATATATATATTATATATATATATATATATATATATATATATACATACATACACATACTCACACAACACACACACACACACACATCATATAAATACAATTTGTTGATTGGGGTGATTGAGTTTATTGTTACTTGTTTGGTGATTGATAAGAAACCGTTAAATTTTCACAAATAAACTAATTGATTTAGACGTTTAGTAGTATGTGTTTAGTCCGTCTGTGTGTATACCGTTTCAAAGATGTTTTGTCATAATTTCCTATTGTTCGGATAATAGGGTTTTCAGATGTTGGTGTTAGCTCAAAAAATCTTTGTGTTTTAAAATAAATATATTTTTTTACTGTGGGAAGCTGTAATTCTGCTAGCATAATAGATACTTTGGTATAACGTGGATAATTGTTTATGATTCTCATACACATATTTTGAATTACTTCGAGTTTTTTGTAATTAGTCTCGCATGTGTAACTCCATACTGGGGCAGAATAAGTGATTAAAGGGCGGATTACTGTTTTATATAAAATTAGTTTATTTTTTGTATTCAGTTTTGAATATCTATTAAAATATGGTGACATTTTGCTGATCATGTTTTTTGCTTTATTGCACTTGTTAATATGTTGAGTAAAATTTAGGGATCTATCAAGTTCTAGGCCTAAATATTTCACGGAACTGGACCAAGGAATCTGTACTTCTTTTATGTGTATATTGTGGTTTATGCGTGGTCTTCTTTTTGTAAAAATAATTGCTTCAGTCTTATTATCATTTTATTTATCATTTCCATTTTTCAAAATACTTGCAGAGTTTTATGAATTGGGATTGTAACCTGTTAGTTATAGTATCCATTCTGAAAGAAGAGGTGTAAATAGCTGTATCATCTGCATATAAGGAGTATTCTATTGAAGGAATGGAAGGAAGGTCTGAGATGAATAGGTTGAATAGTGTAGGAGAAAGACAGGAGCCTTGAGGGAGACCTGCAGATAGGAAATGGATTGAGGAATGGTCATTCTTTATTGTAATGCAAAAGGATCTATTGTTCAGATATGAGTGAAGGAGGTGGATTATGTAAGGTGGGAATTTATATAAAATGAGTTTATGGATAATACCCTCATGCCATACCGTGTCAAAAGCTTTTTCTATGTCTAGGAGGAGCATACCGACGTGCTTCTTTTCATTGAACGCTTTGGTAATATAGTCGGTCAGTCTGGCTAGTTGGGCTACTGTTGAGTGCTGTTTTCTGAACCCGAATTGCTCGTTAGATATCAGACTGTTTTGAGATATATGGCTCAGGATTCTTTTTAAAAGTAGTTTTTCAAAAAGTTTTGAAATTATGTTAAGTAGACTTATTGGTCTGTAACTACGAACATCTGCTGGGTCTTTGTTTGGCTTCGGAATCGTTATGATTTTTGCTGTTTTCCAAGCCGTCGGAAAATATCTAAAGCGAAGCATACAGTTATACGTTTTTGTTAGGAATAAAATAGCCTTCTTGCTTAATTTCTTAATGGCAATTGGAGGTATAGAGTCTGGACCGGGCGATTTTTTAGTTTTTAACTGCTTTATAACCTGTTTCACCTCTTTGAATGAGATTGAAGGGAATGTATTTGGAACTGGTTCTTTGAGAAAGCTTTTTACGGATTTAATGATAGTTCGATTGTGGTTGTTGGTGCCTAGATCAGCCGAAATATTAGATGCTAATGTGAAATAGTTTGCCATAGCTTCTGCCTTCTCTATATTAGAATAGGCGAAATTGTTTGATAGTTTGATTGGAGGGATATGGTGGGGACGATTTGTTAGAATTTTGTGTATTTTCCAAAAAATTTTACTACCAGGGCACAGTTCTCTAAGAGTTTCCTGCCACTTTAAGTTCCTCCAACTGTTTAAACGAGTTTTTACGTAGGCATTTAATTTGTTAAAGAGGCATTTATACTTCTTGTTCCTGGTGAGCTGGTATTTTTTCCGGAATTTATTTTTTATAAAAATAAAAAATTGTAGTTGGGGAGGTATGTTATCGGGTTTGTATTGACAGGATACCAGTGGAATTGATTTTATCATGCCAGTTTTGACAGTCTCCATAAATTTATCGATGTTCAAATGTATATCGGAGTTATTTCTTATAACTGGGTTAATATCTAGATTTTTATCTACGATTTTCCAGAATTTTTCCCAATCAGCCAATTTGAAATTGAATTTTAGGATCGTGCTGTTTTTTACGGTTTTATTTTCCAATCGAAAGACCACCGGGTTATGATCCAAACTGAGACATGGTACCGAGATAAGCCGAGAAACATCAGAAATATTTTTGGTTAGGGCTAAATCAATAATGCTCGTTTGGAGCATGCAATTCTATATTTTTCCGTGATATAAAATTTAATCATCACTATTTAAAAGCCAGTGGAGACTGAGTAAGAGCGCTAAAGCCACATACGCTCAGGACTTGAGTGGAGGAGCTGGCCACTGCCAGGACTCCAATAGAATATTTATAAAAGATCTCGGGGCCATTGCCATTTCAACCTTCGTGGCGGATTATGGATGGTTGGAGCTGGAAAAGGATTGTGCTAAGGGATTAAGATGTTGGATAAGTTTTTGATAGAAGTTTGAGAATTTGGATGGAATTATGTCGAGGACAGAGGGGATATTGAGATCATGATGTAAGGTTTTGTTTGTGACGTAGTACGCCGCAGCATTAACTATTGTTCGAAGGACTTTATATTATTATTAATAACAGGAAATTTAAAATCATTTAATAATGCATGTACAAATATATGGTTAATAATATTCTCCATTAATAGTTAAACCTGTTAAAAATACTTCACTATCATTTACAACACAGTTTAGAGCAAATTTATTCATAGTAAAGAATAAGTGAATTAATAAAAAGGAATGATGATTTCATAATTAAGTATATTTATGTACAAAGAAGTAATTACATGTGGTATTGGATTTAATATGAACTAAATATCCAAAAATATACATATTTTCAAGTTTTTATTTAAACAATATGCTTGTTTTGTTTTTTTAATTTTAGTTTTGTGATGCAAAACTAAGTAGTGTTTTTTAATGTGTTTCATAAACAATTTAAATCCTTTTAATTATTAAGTTTCTGATTAGAGCACCCACTTTACTTAATATATACAATTTTGGCACGATAGTGGACATAATATTAACAATATATTATCATTATGTTTCGTAATATACTGGAAAAAAATCTATCTAATCTTTGAATCTTGACAATAACTAATATTTTAAAATGCTCTGATACAACTATTTCATTTACAATTATAATTACGATTATTTTAAAAATATTAATGAAAATGGTAAATGAATAAGAAATAAAAACTAGGTACGAATCAAGATACTTAATATTCTATTATATTTTTTATTCAATATTTATTTAAATAATGCCCAACATTGTCACATTGTATTAAATGTTCTGCATTTTAAGTAATCCATACTCTAAACATATTTTCATGTTTCTTTTCCTTTTGACTTAACATAAATGGAGCCAGTCAGAAACAATATTGACAACTGCCCAATTTAAGCAGCTTCAAATTCAAAACACAATTAAATAGTACAATATAATATGGTGACAACAATCAATTTTTATGTTCCCAACAATGTATTTATGACAGATTGCTGAAGTTCAGATTTATATAAAAATTACATATTTTCTATAATTTCTTACAATTTATACACAATCTGTATATTGAATTCAAATTCTGTAAATCAAGCATGAATGTTCATATTTTAAAAATTAAATACATGTCAATATACATTTTTCATTATTGAAGTAATAAAAAAAGACAAACCTACTTTGTCAAAAATTAAAGAAAATTACTTTGTTTTCATCTATATTTAAACAAATGTTAAAAATAAATACATATTATTGAATACTTTAGAAATATTTTTTACACTTATTTGAATTTCAACTTTTAAAAATTAGGTTAAAATAATTTTAATAAACTTTCACATTTGTTATGTCTATGATGAAAAATTATATTTTTTCTTGCATATCAAAAAACCTTCAAGTATGATATATAGAAGATTTTACGCACTTAACATAAATCCATAATATCAAGAATGACTTATTTACATCTCAAAACTCTCTAACATATGGCAATTCTATTATTTGTGTATTAATAATATTATACAAAAGATGGATTGAACATATTCATAAATTCTAAAAATTAGTTATTTACGAAAAATTTTATATTTATTCTGCATTTTACTAAGCAAGTAAATAATTGTTTTCAATTTTAATAATCATGGAAGTTGAGATCAGTCATTTTTGTAAAGAATTATATCACTAAAAATTATTAATATGTACAACTAAATAAAAACTTTGGTTTATACTTTCTTAAACACAAAAGATTTGAAACCATTCATATTTAATATAAAAGGTAACAATAATATTATCAATGATTTTATTGTTAAATATACTACAATATCATTTTTTTTAGTGTATTTTTGTATTTCTTTTATTTTCAAAAATCATTTTATATTTGTTTTTTTTTCAAGTGACTTGAATTGTTGATAAGTTTGTTATCTTCACATTACCTTCCACACATTGGGATCTGTTGATAAAACAAAAAAAAAAATTAAAATTGTTGATATATTAAAATAAAAAAAAAAAAAAAAAAATATATATATATATATATATATATATATATATATATATATATATATATATCTTAAGTATTAATCCATTCTAAGATATAAGGAAATCTATACATGGTTAAAATTTTCTTATGAACTTAGAAGTTACAGGATTTCTTTCTTTTAATTCTACTAGGATTGGAAAAAATTGATCACCGAAACAGTTTTCAAATCTACAATGTTTGTCTTTTTATGAAAACAGAAACGTCTAAACATCCTAGATCTTGTGTTTCTAGTTTTTATTTTTTTTTGATGTTTTAGACATGTCCAAACTTGGCTTTAGATTTGGTAAAGCTCAACTTAATTCCACTTTAGCATTGATTCCTTTCATGTTTATTATAAGTCTATTATAAGGCCTATTTTTGGACTTAAGGAGTTGAGCTTTGGGACTCTACTACACCATCAAATTCCTCTGGTACCTAATCCTTCACAAAATCCTCAATGCTTCTTACTTTTCACAAATAAAATTATCCATAATAATCTTAATGTTTCATATTGCCACTCTTAGTGAAAAAGGTCATATTTGAAAATTGAGTTTTTTAAAAGAAGAGCATAAAAAACCCGATTATTTCTTTATCATTTATTTGTATAATTTCATATTTTACTTCCCTCTGCTATTTTTTTAATTAGCAAACTACTTATAGCAGTTGCAAAATACAAACTGCAACCTGTAGCGCAAAGAGAATAAACATGTAAAAAAGTTACCTACTACCTTTTGCACTGACTTTAGGATATGTTGACAATTTGGCCCAACCGAGAGGCATATCCTTCCATAATAAACTTTGGTACTGTCCGAACCCTGTTATTTCTAACCTTGCAAATGATACTTGTAGTCCTATTAAATTTAATTAAATGAACAATAATACTTTTAAAGATAATTTTTTTCTTAAAATGTTGTCATGTCTTCCCATTTGGGGAGAGAAGAGGCTAGATAAAGGAAATATATATTACCCCCAAGTTAATATTTAATTAAAATCTAAATAAAAGTAATTTTAATGATAAAACCGACTGTTTTCAAATCTCCTAGTTGGCGAGAAGACATCTCCATCTTCGGATGGCGTGGAGCCCCTCGGAGTGGATCTCTTTTGCCTGACGGTGTAATCAGGTTCGGGCACCTGCTGAGGGCCCGTGTAGGACCACGCCATCTTGTTCTTCACCCCTTCTGCTCTGCAACCAAGAATATTTATATCAATAATTAATTTATGTAAATTGTATGTTATTTTAAATAAATGAAAATCAATTTTATTCTGGGACTGAAGTTCCCTTAGAATCATAGCAGAGTTCAAAAAATATATACATCAGTCTGATATGTAGATATAATACAGATATATACAAAAAATACAGAGAAAAAAAATAATATGTCTCTTATCAATTAACTGTTGGTGAGAAATTGTAATTACATAACCTAAAAATTCTTACAAGCTTGTGGAAGTTTGTATGTGCATTAGGTGCTGGAATAGGAGTTGTTTGAAGGAATTAGTGGATGATATTTGACATGTTTATTTTTATTTTTTTATTTTTATTATTAACTGATTTAAATTAGAAAGTAACTTATAATTTATTTTATTATTTGTAATTTTTAATAATAATAATAATAATGCTTTATTTATTCTGGGACGAGTCCCTTTAGAATAAGGGGAGATAAAAATGTGGGCTAAGGAGCCTCAGAGATAAATAGAGAAGAATATAGTTTGATTAAATAGTAAAAAAAAAAATAGTTAAATGAAAAAAAAATAATAAAGAACGATCTAATAATTTATATACATATTTACAGTAGTAACTATTTAGAATGTTATGATGACTGGATGGATAAGAAATGATTAAACAGTTGGGATTTAAGGGTAGGAAGGGTTTTGGATTGACGGATGTGGGGAGGGAGGGATGGAGTTCCATAGGGAAGAGGATCGAATAATAAAAGATTTATCGAAAGCAGCGGTTCGGTAGGCCATTATATATAAATCTGAAGACCGGGAACGGGTATTGCGGGAGTGGACAGAGGATGTAAATTGAAGGACGGCGGGAGTAAATTACTTGGAAGAGGAAGGGTGCCAGGAAATACTTACGGCGGTAGGACTATTTATTCAAACTATATTCTTGTTTATGTTTCTCTGAGGCTCCTTAGCCCACATTTTTGTCTTTCTGTATTATTCTAAAGGGACTCGTCCCAGAATAAATAAAGCATTATTATTATTATTATTACGGAGATAGGTAAGGAGTTCCAAAAGGAGGTAGCATAAATGATGAAGGATTTGCTGAAGGGAGTGTTTTTATGGGAGGGGATATATAGATTTATAGGTTGAGATTTGGTATTAATAGAGTAGATAGAGGAACGTAGAGTAAGGAGTTGTAGGATGTAGGGAGGATTTTTGGTTCTGGAGACTTAGAAAAGGAAAACACCAAGAAGGAATTGCCGTTGGAAATAGAATAGAGCCAGTTCAACTCCAAGAAGGAAATGCCATTGGAAGTAGAATAGAGCCAGTTCAACTCGGTGCATAAGCAGGAAACATTGGAGCACCTGGGAATCACAAAGACGAGTCTTATGAAGCAATTCATGTATCTCTTTAGTTTCGCCTCCAGTCTTGTGGATAGCCCTCCGTACACCAAACAACCGTAGTTGAAGTGAGGGAAACCAAAGGATGTTACAAGGATCTGTCTGTTTTTTGTTCATCATGGAATCGTAGGAATTGTTTAAGCATAGTTATAATAAACATCATTATTTGAAAGTTATATAAACATCATTTATTAAAACTAATATATAATTTGATATGTTTTAAAACTAATTCCATAAACAAAAAAATCCTCAATGTTAATTTCTTATATGTCAACAAATCAAAAGTGGGTGGTGTCATAACTAATATCTGTGGCCTCCATTAGTTTTTTCATGCTCTTCATTAATCTAGCACTAGAATTAATTAATATTCAATTATTTTGATTTTAAAAAAATTAATATTAATATAATTAAATTGAATATATGTATATGGGTGTGTATTTACTTATAAAAAAAACAACAACAGTAAAATGTAAAAAAAAAATATTGTAGCCTTCGTCATCACAGCTGAACCTCAATGTGGACATAAATGATCAAAAGATTCCTCGCCTACAGTATAAATGATTTTTTTTTGTATTAAATATTAATGCTACCATAGTCTGAAATAATAGAGTTATTTTTGTTTCTCTTCCATTAACACAACAGGCACATATAGCTGCCCTTGGCTTGATAAAAAGCACCTAGCCATCTCGTTTTATCTTTAGCATGGCTGACATTCTTCCCAAAATCCTCATTTAAAATATTTTTTTTCTGGATACCCCAACCTCGTCATATGGGTCAGGTTTGTGCTAGAGGTATAACAAAACTTATTCTAACCAAACTAGGATGGTCAAGATTCATTCCATGGGTCAGCCACAAAATAAATTGTAATCAGTCCAGGTTTCCGGCGTTATTAGTCTCAAGAATGTTAAAGCTCGGCCATTATGACCTCGACTCATTTCAAGCCTGTCCAGTAAGAATAAAAAAGTGTTTTGTGTCAGCAGCTGTTCTATTTAATGTCCATGTCATTTGGCTGGCCAGTCTGATTTTCGAAAAACAATTCTGATAAAAAAGATCGTGCGATCATCACATCACGATATCTTCTGCATATGACAGCACTTGGGTCATTTTATGTAATATTATGTCTCAAAGCTCTATCTCTGTTCTTTTTATAATTGTGTGGTTTGAAATATTGAGCATTATTGCTAGATTTTTTTAAACCCTCCGATTTTTTCGGTATTTAAGGATCAAAATTGCGATTCCTCACTTCTCCGTTATATTCTCTTATGTTTGATACCTCATTCATCAAAATCCATCGTCCCTGAGAGCCGGAAAGGGATCCTTCTTGCTGCCACAGTAGCTATAGTGTATAGATAATACTAACCTTTTTGGTAAGGAAGAAGTATCGCTATCTCCTTGAGGTATGATTGTGTTGGGTGGGCTGGGCCTCTTGGGGTGGATGGTGTAGTCTGGATCGGGCATTGCTTTGCGAGACTGTTGTTGGTTCGGGTTCATGTAGGACCAGGGCATGTTGTTGTTGATCCCTTCTGTTTTGCCGGTTAAATCGAATCTGTAGCAAAATGATGTGTAATAATTAAAACAAGGATTAAAAAAAAACTAAAATAAATTTATTATAAGAGAAGTTGGTTGGGAATTGCAATCGTTAGGGTAAGTGCACCAGCGATGAACATAGCTAATGGAATTTTTATATTTTTTGGCTTATTGGCTGTAATCATTATAGTTATCAACTCCTCCGTTGGACATTTGGAATCTCTAGGAATCTCCTTTTCTATTTAAAACTTTAAAATTGAAAAAATATCCAGTTTTGCACTAGTGATGGACACCCCTAAATTCAATTGTTCTAGTGATGGACAGGGGATCTATACCAGTAATGAACATACCTCAGAAAAATTCTAAAATCTTTATAAACTATAAAAAATGATAATTACAGTTATTTTAATTAATTAATTTGTTTCTAATTGGTTTATGGTGTAAAAAAATATATATTAAAAACTAATCCTAAATCCTTGAGATGCTTATATAATAGGTGTAATATATTATTTTTTTAAAATTGAATGCACTTATTTTCAAATCACTTTTATTAATATTATAATGGACAAATTTATTTTCAACAGTAAATATGTATGTTTTGGAAAAATTTGTGAGGTCAGTTACCTTCATTAACGAAAACTAGTGGTTTAGATAATTCATATAATATATTTTTGACGTTTGTAATAATAACTTCTCAACTACTTTCAATAAATACAATCTTCAGTTGATAACAATACTTCATTGTTTTTGAACTATTTGAATCTGTTCTATTGGAAAGTCAGTTTTTTTTATTTTATAGCTGAAATGCTTTTTTTTTCTATAGAAAGTCTATAATTTTATCTAAAGAATAATTTGATTTTTTAATTTTTTAAAACGAAAAATGAATAATTAAAAACCTTTTGAAGAGATAATTTTTTATGTAATTTTTGGAGAATTTGTAGAAATAACATTGTGTGACACGCCACACGCACTTATATGATTTATAAATATTTGACTGTGTATTTTCATTCAAACGGAAGCAAAATATTTATTAGAAACTGATAAAATCTATAGACATGTCAAGTAATGAACACAGTAGACCCAATAATGGACACCTGTCTAATACTGGTTAGAGATGTTTTAGAGACAAACTAAGAATACCGCACGATTTGTCATTATTTCTAGACTCAGAAATTACAAAAACCTGAAACATTTTTGTAAAACTGTAGACGTGAGTGTCCATAACTAGATTTGGGACGATTTCCGACACAGTGATGGACACCCTCTAAAAGTTGTTTAAACGTTAGTTTCAATTAAATTTAATGTTAAAATTGAATAGCTGAGGTAAATTGAATATTTTCATAGTGAAAACTCTAAAATTTAAACACCTACGAACATAATGTTCAACTTACTCTTAGCAAAACTATTAGTAGGGAGGTATGAAGCACACAGATCTCAAGAGCACTACAGAAACAACGATCATAGATATTCTAAAATCTTCTTTTAGTAACTTTGTTCATACTGTTGTCAATAGAGGGCATTTTTCAATCTAGAAAACTAGAATCTTAAATCTACAAGGAAGGTTATTGTTTACATTTTAAGTCCCTACTGTCCATCGCTGGACCCCCTGTTAATACCTGATGCATTCATCCTAGAAATACACATAAAAGAAATGTTAGCTATTTTTTCAGGCCTTCATTTATTAGCCTTCAGGTTTAAGCAAAGATCAGCTAACAAATTAATAGTGAGAAAATAATTCGATAGGTATATGTAAAAATAATTAGACTAGTATATATATGTAGTTAAATGAAACATTAATAAATAATGAATGGAAAATATATGATGTACAATAAATTAAATAAAAGAAAATGTAGGGAGCTATAAAGTAAAATAATGTTAATACCTTAATGAAATAAATAAAGCAATGCAAAATGATTTTTCAAAGAAATGAAATGGAATATTAAGTAATATAAATAAATCAGTGGAGTAAATTGTAAAATAAAATAAATAATAAGTTGATGTTATAATATGTGCAGAGAAAATAAAATAATAATACAAAACAAAGAATGTTAAGTTATATAAATAGAATAATTACAAGTAAATAGAAAATAATAAGATATAGCAAAATTCTATAGACATTTTCTTTCTATTTCTTTGTTATCAATTATCAATTTATAGAAACTACCACATACTATTTATTTATTAACAAGATGTATGTCTTTAGCTCTTAGTTTCACTGTATTGTAAAGTACAACTTTATTGGAAGTGGGTAAAAAGGGTTTAATAAATTAATGTTGAACAATTAAAAGGCAAGCTAATCTAGTTCTACTAGTGCAGGGAGAAGAAAATGGCTGTCTGTAGTTTCCCAAAGAGGAGAGGGACAAAGGTTTTTGTTTTGGCAGGCAGTTTTTGTGTGACTGCAGTGAAGAGAGGTTAAGAGAATATATCCTATCCTGGCTCCAGTGGGTAAAACCCAGTAATAGTTTTACCATCTTAGAAGATCTTGTTTGGCAGAACTTTGGAAAGTGTTTGAAGACAAATGAATTCAGTGTAATAAAGAAAGAAACAGTATATATAAAAAAAAGTTAGCTTGCCAATACATACTTGACTTTATTATAAAATCAGTGTTTAATTTTAGTATAAATAGTGTAAATAACAATAGTTTGTCTGTGTTGATCTGATTGTTAGTAACCCATAACTGAGATAAATAAATTTATTAATGCTCTTATAATTTTGTTCATTATTAAACAACTTCTTATTTATTTAGGAAGTATCCCAATGCTAAGAAATGAGCTTCCGAGGTTATATTATTATTATTTGTAAAATATAAGAGGGATGTTACAGTATATGTGTAAATTTATTAGAAATAAAGCTGTTATTAATATTATTGCTATAATGTGATTCTTTGTTAAACTAATTCAACAAAACACGACACTCATACTCACAGAGGATTCCTCGTCTTGACGAAGGATGGCTGTGGACTGTCCGGGGTGGTGGGCTTGCCATAGACATCATAGAAGGGTGAGGAGGGACTGGGGAGCACTATGGGGGGAGGACTGTTGATCATGAAGCCGCTGCCTGGAGGTGGTGGGGGCGGGCTGGAAGGGGGGGCCATCGCCAGCGGCCTCAGGACAGGCCTCTGGGGGCGGCTGAGAGGCCCCTCTAGGGGGAGTGCCGACGGCCGTTCTGGCCTTCGCTCACTGATCTGAGGCGACAGTCTGGGCAGGCTGATCTCCTGGGGCTCAGTCGTTGGCTGCTTCCTGATGTGGACCCAACTCGATGTCTTGCCATATCCTGCGGTAGGAGTCATTCGAGCGTCACTCTACAAAAAAAAAAATCTATGTATTTACTAGATACAGACTGATTGGTACACCAGTAAGTTCTAACAATAGATGAAATATTTTTGATCTTCTGTCCTACAATTTTTATTTTTCTGTATCTGAAAATGTTTTACATATATTAGCTTAAACTAAAATTTTTTAAAAAAAATTCTGTAATAATCTTTTAGTAACCTTTTAGGATATCATAATAAACAATTACCTGGTTTTCAAATATGACAATTTATATTTTTATGAAAAAAAAAACAGGTCACTCTTTTAAAAATACAAACTTACTCTTTTAATTTTAACTTACAAATTTGCACCCGGGACTGCTGTACAAACTCCGACAATTCCTACCACCTACATACTTCCTCATTATCCGTTCCTACCTTACTGATAGATACTTTAAAGTAAATAACGCCTATTCATCCCTTTTTTCCCAGTCCGCTGGTGTTCCTCAAGGTAGTATCCTAGGTCTTATCCTCTATACAGTTTATACAGCTGACATCCCTACCTGTCCCAACACTGTCGTCACCACATATGCCTATGACACATGTATCCTATCAGTAAACAATGACCCAGCAATTGCATCCCAAATGCTTCAATCACACATCATAAATCTTGAAGAATGGTGTCAAAACTGGAGAATTAAAATAAACTCCAATAAATCCCCCCAAATTACCTTTACCCTTTGTCGTAAACCAACGACTTCCTGTCCTACAGTTTCCTTTAACAATACTCCACTTATCCCTGTTGAGCAAATCCGATACCTAGGACTCCACCTGGACAAACGACTAACTTGGAATCCTCATACTAGACTGAAACGACAAGAAACCGCTCGACGTTACTTCAGCACTTACTAGACAAACGCTCTAAACTTCTCATTAATTACAAAAAGACTCATATACTTGACTATAATAAGACCTATTTGGACTTACGGAGTTGAGCTATGGGGCTCCACTAAACCATCGAATTCCTCTCGCATCCAATCCTTACAATCCAAAATCCTTCGTAAAATCCTCAATGCTCCTTACTTTGTCACTAATAAAATTATCCATAAAGATCTTAATGTTCCTTATGTTTCAGATCTGGCCCAATCCAGATACCTATCCTTCCATAATAAACTTCAGAATCATCCCAACCCTCTCGTTTCTAACCTTGCTTCCTCTTCAATTCCTGATAACCCTCCGAGGCGTCTGAAAAGAAGATGGCCCAGTGATCTCCTAATGTAGTCATACCATTAGAGTGCTACCATTGGGTAGTTACTCAGCAAGTGTATTCATGTCATTATATCAATTATGTCCAAATTTACTTGATGTATTTATGTAATACAGTTGTAAATGTCATAAAGAAATAAAAAAAAAAAAAAAAAAATACTTACAAATTTAAAGCTATAATATCAAAAAATTAAAGCCGTAACAATAATTAATATAGATTTTTTAATTAATTTAATCATTTTATTTAACTTCATTCTTTATTTTTATAACCTTTATCTAAGGTTCCTAGGTATTTTTAATGTCTCTATATACTAAATTATTTAGTTTAGTTTTAGTTAGGTTTTTGCTGTTGGGGATTGGTTTGAATAATAATTTAATAAGATCCTCACTGCTCTCCAGTTTCTTAGTTCACGAGGTGGTTAGGTTTCTGTTATTGTGTCTAATAATTTCTATGTCTATAAACTTTATCTTATCCTGCACTTCTTTTTCAATCTTAAATTGTAGTTTTTCTTGAAAACTATTCATGGAATCGATTCACATCTTTTCTATTCATAATGCAGAGAATATCATACACATACTTGAAGATTATTTTTAATTTTGCTTTCCTTTATTCTTCTGCGACCTTTAGTAATCTATTGTTAACAATACTAGCTAAATTTATTGATAAAATACTTTCCATTGGGATCCTCACTAGCTGTCAGAATATTTCCTTGAAACTTAAAAAAATCCACTCTAACAAATTAATTTTATATATATATAAATGTCTCTTTATTACTTTCCTACCTATATATACTAGGTAAGGAAAGTTTTGCAATTGGGTCATATTTCCGATTTGCGGTTTTCGTAGGATCTATAAGTTTCATAGCCCTTTGAGTCGGAAAAACACATTTTTAGCTATTGGTTTGTCTGTCTGTCTGTGCCAAGATTTTCTCTGGAACTAGTAAACCGATTTTGTTTCTTATTTTCTTATTTTGTAGGGTTTTGATTACTGATGCCTGTGACTCTAATTGGGTGCTTCCTGCACAATAAGTGGAAAACATATTTTTCTATAGATTGTAGCGCGAAAATAGCTCTAACGATTTTGATGAAACTTTCCTATCATGTTCTAATAATTGTCCTTTCAATTTTTGTACATGTACTAAATTCTAAAGAAAATTCAAGAAAAAAAGTTATAAAGAAAAGAAAAATGTTTGGGGGCCTAACTCACTAAGTATATATTCTATGGTAAAATTTATAATATAACTTTGGAAAGGTAATTAAATTACCAACAAAACAAAAAATAAATCAGCATCGAACCAATATTAGCGATGATACAGCGTATTCTATTTTCTACACATATTTAAATTTATTACTTTTCTACCTATACTATGCAAGGAAAGTATTGTGATTGGGTAAAATTTCGGATGTGTGGTTTCGACGGATCTAAACGTTTCAGAGCTCCCTGACAACACTGTTTAGCCTGGTTTTTTTTAAAGGTGGTGAAATTCCTTACAAAACAGTATAAAAGTCGTTCATTTCAGACTACTATTAACGAAGTTACAGCTATTCAATTTCTAATATAAGATTACAGGTTGATATCCTGGTGTCAGAAAGAGGTAAGAAAAAAGAAAACTAAGTGAATGTAAGAAAATCTGTAGCCTGCATCACGCAAGCTTCACTCTCCCCTCTACTTTTAATCGAAATTATTGTGTGACAAAATTAGGCTATGGCAAAAAGTTTTTGATTAGTAATATTAGAGCATATTTACACTGATCTACCACAGGCCGGTTTATATTGCTTTAGTTTATCAAAGAAATCATACTCAAATGTTTTCTTTGATCAGTTTTCAGGAAAATAAATCTAATTCAATTTTTTTTTTATTTCTTAATGGACATATTTTAAAATATAAAAACTTTGCTGAAATAGGTAGGAAAGTCATGTGAGTGGACATACCAGATTTTTTTTTATTTTTGTATATGTTTCAATTTTATTCCTATCTACATTTATTATATTATATAAAACTTTTCAAGCTTTGTTAGTAAAAAGTGATTTAACATCAAAACTTATTCGAATTTCTTCTTTCTCTATTTTTACATGGTTTAATCTATTGTTTACAGCTATAGATTTTTTTTTTTTTACATCATATTTATTATTTTCTTTTATAAAATGTATGGCTGGTTTAAAAAATTTATAAATTTTGTTAGTAGGACTTTTCATACCATCTAAGATAGTCCAAAAACTTGGTCTGGCTTAAGTAATGTTATTAAATCTAATATCCCACTTTTCTATAAACTTTTATGATTCCTCATCTTCTATAAACCCTAGTTTTGTTAACCTAGTTTTGTTGGGTGTAATTGTAGTGAATAATTGATGAGACGATTGGTAGGGGAGATCAGCAAAAAAAAAAAATGTAATTTTAGCTGACGTTTCATCCCAAAGTTCAGGCCTTTATCAGGGCTAAGAAAACAAAAACTGATAACAATAGGTATGAGAAACTATTAACAATAAAATGAAAAAATAATATATAGCTGGAAGTTATAGTCTAAAAAATGTAAGTAGAATAAACTTAAAGAAAAATAAAGTAAGTAGAATAAACTTAAAGGAAATATAAAATAATGATAACAAAGTTAGGGATAGAAAGTAGCGAAAGCAAAGTCAGGATACATAAAATAGCTGTAAAAAAGTTAGGAAATCATGAATAAAATAATTTTATTTAATATAATAAACATTTTAAGAAAAAAAACATGTAAGAATTAGATAAATAATATTTTGATTGATAATAATAATAATTTGATATTTTATTCATAAATGGGTTATAAAATAGCAGGTAATGGTTTTTTTTATTTTAGTTTTCAAGGGTGAAAAACTTCAATGGTTATCATCATATTTTCTTTGATTTTCTGTCAACTTGATTTGATTTTAAATCCTGTGTAAATTTGTTCAAGTGGAGGACGGTCATCGATTATTTGCTGCCTGTTAGGGCTGTTTGATTGTCCTGACATTTTGGAGGTAGCTGTATTGTTATAAGATAGCCATGGACAGCTAAGGAGTTATAACTTCATCTCTTCTCAACTGGAGCATGTTCACGTTTTAACAGCTGGGCCAACCAATCTAAGTTTATTTGTTAGCCCCATAAATTTTTCTTTTTTAAATGAACCAAGTTGATAAATCCATATAAATTATTGTTATGATTTAAATTTTTTTATATTTTATATATAGGCGCAGGCTACGAGGGGGTGAGAGGAGCGGTCGCTGCCCTGATAAAATTGTTGAGAGAGCTGAAATATCGTTTCGCCTCCCAATAATTTGAGGCAAAAAAAAATTAAAAATCAATAATAAGTAAGCTAAATGAATCAATAAAATGTGTAAACTAAAATCGATTAAGAAAAGTCGACTAGGTAGCTAGGATTGGGCCTGTTAGTAGGTATGTAACTATTTTATTTATACTTAAATATTTTATATAAATTGTCATTTATATTCAATGATAATAAGTTATTACATATCAATCACCTTGTTTTTTTGTGTAAAATAAGAAAACCATATTGCCAATTGTATAATAAATTAGAAAAACCCAAAGACGCTTCCAATAAATTAGAACAAGTAAATTATTTTTTTAGTTTAAACTAAAACTCTTAAAGTTTGTTTTGTAAAATAAAAATATATAAATTTTTGGAATTAATTATCAGAGTGGATTTTTTTTTCATACCAATTACTTAAATATTCTTATCACCTCAGGAATTTCTCCCAAGTTACATGTTACAACCATCGGATATTTAAATGATTGCTCTTCAAAACTATATCAATAA